TAATGGCTATGTCACTGGACTCCCACGTAGTCGACCGTGGTTCAAGTCCTGGACCTGGAGGCTTAAACTCACACCAGGCGCATGTATGTGCGTGTCCAAGATCCTGAGAGGAGAATGGAGGAGAAGGGATTGTGGTGTGGCCACCTCCCCAGGGGGTGAGTTCTCGCTTTCTGTCTCTCTATCTCTCTGTCTGTCTGGCGAACGCACGCGTCCTAAAGCAAAAACTTCTCCAAAAAAAAAAAAGGCCCCTCCTATTCTTCAGAGATGTCTTAAAAACCCTTGTGAGGCCTTCCCTCCTTCAACCCTCACCACATTTTCCAGTTGAGAATGAGAACAATTACTTCTGTTTTATAGACAGTGAAGAGTGAAGCTGAGGGCCAGAAAGGTTCATTATTGGCCCACGTCAGGATTCCATTTCAGGATTCCTGGCCCTAGTTCGTGGCTCTCTCTATCCTGTCCCGCTGCTGCCCTTGAAATCTGCCTGAGGCTGAAGCCTAGGCAGCCTCTAGCCAGGCCCAGGCCTTGCAGCATGGCCGCCCCCTTACCTGTGGCAGGGGAGGATTCGGCATGGGAAGTGTTGACGTGGCTGCTGTCCAGCTTGGCTTTGTCCTTGATCTGCACTGTCACGACGCGCTCGGCAATGACCGCTTCGAAGCCGATCACTGTGGTGTGCTCATCCAGTGGGTACACGAAGAGGCCTGCAGAGCGAGGCCCAGCATTGCGGGGTGCCCAACCCATGCTGCAGCCCCCCTCCTGGAAGGGACCCCATGCCTTCAGCCTGCCTGATACATGGCAGTTGCTGCCTCTTAGAGTAGGCCAGGGACTCGGCAGAGGGCCAGGCTGGAGCCTCGTGGCTCTGATCCAGACAGGTCAGGCAGTGGCAGGCACTGGGCGTGCAGGGCGCCAGTGGAGAAGGGGCAGCTTCTCCCCGATTTCAGCTTTTTCTTCTTTTGTAGGGACATCAACCTGGTGTAGCCAGACTTCTGATTTTCCAAGAGAAAATGGGACCTGGAATTTGATGTGACCTGGCGTGCAGGCCCAGTGGAGCACATCTGTGTGGTGAACTTGGCCCACAAGCCACCAAGCTGCCACCTACGACACCGAGGCTGGGGCTGTGGAGACCATACGCTTAGGTTCTAGTCAGGTGACCGTGGATAGGACATTTAGCTTCTCTAAGACTCACGGGGTCTGTAAGATGAGGCGAATAGAGGCAAACCCACAGGGTGGTTGTTAAGACTCAGAAAAATAGCCTCATTTAGTCAGCTAAGGCCCCACAGTCTGTGCGGAAGTTTAATATCTCAGTGCTTCTCTTACTATTAGAGCTCTAGAATTACCCAGGGGTCTTTAAAATGCAGATTAAGATTCAGCAGTTCTGGGGCGGGGCCTGCATTCCTACTGTTACCTTTTTCTTTCTTTCCTTTTTTTTTTTTTTTTTTTGCTTGAGAATTCTTTGCTCACCTGATACCAGACACAGAGAGACAGAAAGGGAGGGCGAGGGGGTGGAGAAAGCATCCCCACCATGGGAAACGGTCACACCGCAGCCCTCCTCCTCCATCTCTCCCTCCTTTCGGGAGTTTCGGCACGCACACACACATGCCTGGTGTGTTCTCAAGTCATAGTCCGAGACTCAAACCACATGGTTGGCCACGTGGGGTCCAGCTGCCTCAACCACGGTTCTGTCTGTCTCAGCAGCTTCGAGTGACACTGATGCTTGGGACCACTTGGACCTCGAGGTCGTATTTAACTGGCCCTCGGTCCTTGGAGCAGCACAAGCTGGGTGGATGGTCGGCCTCCACGGTCCCTGACTTCTCGTCACTCTGAGCCTCACTTTCCTCATCTCTAAAACGTGGGTGCAAAGGCCTGTCTGAGGTTGTTCAGTAGTTCAGCCTCCGGGTCCCCAGGCGGGGCCTGTTTCAAGTCGCCCTCTGGGCCGTCAAACAGAGAAACGGGTCAATTTGCTCTGCCCAGGGGATTTCTGAGGGAGAAAGTTTTCCCTGTGGTTCCCGTAGGGCAGCATTGGCCCCAGGGCAGTGCTGGAGTGGTAGCCAGTGCCCGAAGCAGTCAGGAGCTTGTCAGTGTGGACCCGAGTGGCCATCGGCTCTGACCCAGGGCCCTCCCTGAGCCTTCCTGTGACACGCCCTTACGAGGAAGGAGTGCGACTTACACTCAGTCCTTGCAGGCGGTCATCTTGCCCACCCTGGCACCTGCTCTGCCGACCCACCTGGCAGACTTTCCAGTCCTCACTGTCGCTCTCCCAGATGACCTCGTCTGCTCCCCCCTCCAGCCCTGGCATCCCCACAGGCAGAGGGGAGCAGCCTGCTCCTGAGAGGGACAGCAGCGTCCCTGAGGTCACAGAGCAAGCACAAGAGCCGCGCCTAGCACGGAGGGTTCCGCCTGCAGCTGCATCCACGCCTCTGCTGCAGCTCCCTGGAGACAGAGTGCTCTCCCTGTGGGCCGCCAGGGGAGCGCCGTGTGGAATGGACAGCAGGCAGGCCGAGCCCTGACCTCCGGCTCAGATCCTGACCTCACCAGAGAGACAGAGAGAGGGCAGTATTAGTGTTGAGGCCTGCAAGGCGGAACGCCATTTTACAGAGGACATCGAGACTTGGAGAGGTCACCGGACTTGCCCCGTTCAATCAGCTAGCACATGGCTGGACATGGAATCAACGTGGAAGAAGGGGTGGCACTGGGAGGCCCCACCAGGGGTCCTTACCCTGGAAGGGCTGGGCTTCCAGGTTGCCATAGGTGAGGGAGGCGGTCAGGCCCAGAGCGTAACCACTGACGAAGGAGGTGACCTCAGATGCAGTGAGGGGCAGGGCTGCCCCCGTGTTCCGGTTGAGCAGGCACGG